CCTTTTTAGAAAAATGAACATTTTTATTGCTGAAATTGCATATATTAAAAACTTTGAAAACTAAACCCATTTTAGTGCATTTAATTGCCATATTACATTCAAAATGCAAATACAAATATATAAAAATATAAAAAATCCATTTAAAATTACTTATAAAAAGGTAAACACAGTACAACCAAAAACTAAGACATAAATCAGAATAATAGTAATAAAAAATAATAATAAAACCTAAACATTGTGCAAGGCTTTTTGGCTTTTGTAAGAGGCAAAAATTTGTGGGCAGGAAGCTAATGTGGAACAAAAACAAGAGTCCATACACATAACATTTATTAACACATTTTTCAGCAACATGAATTTAAAGTTATTTGGAGAACAAACCCTCTTAAATGTCTGTCTGCATACTGGTGTGTGTGTGTGTGTGTGTGTGTGTGTGTGTGTATGAAAATTCTGGGGTGAAACCGAGAATTCTGGATGTGCTTGTTCGAAAACCGAAACCGAAAATGCTTTGTAATAATTATTTATTTTATGAAATAATATAAAGTAATTATGTAAGACTTTTTAATTTAACTCAATTTTAATGACACGGAATTTAAAAAACACAAGCCAATAAAATAACCACACTTTTATTGAAAGAAAATTGGACAGAAAATATATTAATATTAAATATCAATGTATTATTTTTATTCAGTTCTATGCAACAGAATCAGACATAACTGTTGTTGTTGTTGTTGTTTTTGACTAATTATCCAAATAATGTATAGTCCTGCAAACAGGGTTTTTCCTTTCTCAAAATGCGGCGGAGGTGGTACCATCCTGATCATGTGCACACAATGTACCCACCCTTCAAGTGGCTGAAACAAACACTTTTTTCACAATTTGAGTTGAATTACTGAAATAAATGAACTTTTCCACGACATTCTAATTTATTGAGATGCACCTGTAGTGGGGAGCAGATCAGTGAACGAGATTTTACCAACATTGCCCAGTACTGCAAACAGGAACAAGTATACTACATAGAAATTTCTTGTCGGCGCGTTATTTGAGTGGACTTAGCTTTTCCGGTGAGCATGTGCGGTAAATGAGCAGAATGCACATTGATAGAGCAGAATAATGAACGGAGCGTCACACGGCGCAGTGATGACGGCTGGAGGAGAGTGAAACCTGAACACTGCTGGGCGGCGTGGCGCAACATATATTTTCGGCGGCTGAAAATTCAGTGCATCCCTAGTAAATGGACTAAACGATTCTTCGAAGCACATAATTTTCCTCGATGATTTTTTTGTACGAATAAATGTTTGACATCTAAATGTTTGACTTTTTTATCTTATTGGAATCGAAACTAGGAATCGATAAGAATCTGAATCGATAAGCAGAATCGGAATCGGAATCGATAAAATTCAAACGATACCCAACCCTACTCACGTGACTCTCCTTTAAATTCACCCTACTGGCTTATAAGCCTTCATCCAAAAATGAAATTTGTCATCATTTACTCAACCTTACGTTTTCCAAACCTGTATGGAAATTCTAATGCAGATATAAAAGTACTATGGAAGCCTATGGCTATCAGCCACTGTACAAATGGTATGTTGTGGCACTACCCTGACTAAGGTCTATACCCAGCTGTATAAACACAAGAATTGTTTTATGTATGTTTGTACTATCTATATTTATGCATATACAGTGGGTACGGAAAGTATTCAGACCCCCTTAAATTTTTCACTCTTTGTTATATTGCATCAAGGATGATCAGAAGAAATGGACAGCACCTGAGTTAAATATATGAGTGTCACAGCAAAGGGTCTGAATACTTAGGACCATGTGATATTTCAGTTTTTCTTTTTTAATAAATCTGCAAAAATGTCAACAATTCTGTGTTTTTCTGTCAATATGGGGTGTTGTGTGTACATTAATGAGGAAAAAAAATTAACTTAAATTATTTTAGCAAATGGCTGCAATATAACAAAGAGTGAAAAATGTAAGGGGGTCTGAATACTTTCCGTACCCACTGTATACTGTTGAGCCAAAACATCATGACCACCTGTCTAGTAAGGTGTTATATGGAATATACACTGTACCCAATTTGTTGTTTGTCCTCCTTTGGACCACTGCTGGTAGGTTCTCACAAAAACGCCCCACAAGTCTCGCTGTTTCAGACATTAGGGATGGGCGATACCACTTACTTTGTTTTCGATACAATATGATACCGATACGATACTTATAAACTGAACTTTTAAATTATTACATTTATTAAATTATTAAATTACTATGAGTAAAGTGGGTAATGATACCCACTTAACTTTATATTTGAAATGCATTTTAACATTCAATGCGCCTTAATTGCAACTTGCACATGGTTAAAATGTTTACTGTAGTGGTAACCATGGAAATCTACAAATACTATAGTTGAATTACGGTCACTTTAGTAAAGCCATGGTTAATTTTCATAAGGGACTGCCAGTGACAGGCTGTTGTACGCATAAAATGCAACCTTTTTATTCTGACAGTGTATGATTTATATTAACATTACAGAATAGAACATGATCAATATGAACTTTTAACATTCAATTTAAATAAATGTAATTGCACAAACTATGTAGGCTACAATTTCAATTTGTATATTGTGAAATAACTCAAACATATGTTTTTTTCTGTCCTCTGATAAGCATTTTTTCTGGGCTGCCGTTCCCAAAAGCATCAGTGCTTTCTTATGATACTTTTGGGTAATGCAGCCCTGTTTGAATGCACTGTCGGAAGTGAGTGAACGCTCTCTGGGATTGATTGGTTCTGTCTTGATTCTGATTGATTGGTTAGCAGGAAAATAGTTCTATCCTACACAATTATTCGCTAACATAGGTTATTCGTCCAATTCAATGCATATTGTAGACATGAATTATTTTGTTCAATTAACAAAATCACTGGTAAAAAAAAACTACTTAGTATCGATATTTTTGAGTATCGACATTTTTGATACTAGCATCAGTATCGATATATCGATACTTGAGGATCAATAATTCCCATCTCTATCAGACATGCTCTAACATAGTTGTCTGGCCACAACAAATTGGCCCTTGTCAGTCACTCAGTCACTTGCAAAGGGTCACTCACAGTTTACTCCTAAAAGTAACTATCAAACATGTTCTCACATGAAGTCATTGTTATTCAGGCATGAATCCATCTTTATTTATTCGGGATTAGTTCATGCGTTCACTAATTATTAGTTTATGTTGAAGTAAGTTTTAATTTGCGTAATTAGTACATGATTATTTAGGTACCCCTTATTATAAAGCTTTATATTCACCTTGGTTTATGATTATGGAAGTGACGTCACTGTCATTAGATTTGTATTCTTGTGGTTGTTGACTCTGACTCATGAATGATGTGCTGTAAGGTGCAGTTTTTGTTGTTTTCCTTAATGTCTTTCACGTCTGTTCATGAAGCAGCTGGTGATGTCCTGTCCTCATGATTATTATGACAGCCTCCTCAACCCTTTGCTGGGCCCACTGTTTACCTATCTGCTGCAGGTAACCTTAACATCATATACAATATCTGGAAGTATGTGGTTAACAAACCAGAGCATGTTTTTTTTTATTTTTTATAATGCTTCATTTTTAAAATGCCTCCCTTAAATACTCAAGTCATATATTTACTACTACACTGTGTAATTAGTGTTTTTAAATTGTGCTATCTGATACAGATTTCCCAATTTGATTCACGGATAAACAAAGAAAAATATGCTAACTTGAGAAAGCTAGAAGAAATGCATAATGTCATTCCAGACAGACTGGATGATGATAAGATCAGATCTCTGTGTGGAGCACTGGCTGTTGTCAGACTCCTTGTGCAAACAAATATCGCACTGAATTATTACAGTTAATGGCAAAATGAATGTTTGAAAATGTAAAATTATATTTCGTACTGACACACTACAGCAAAAGATGCACGTCAAACAGATGTAGCTCAATGAAATAGAAGCGCAATAAATCTGACTAAGTTACATTTTGAAATTTGATAATGTCGATGATATCGTCTGCGATTTTTTTTGCGTAGCTTGTCAGTGAACTACGGCTCTGTGAAGTAAATACTGCTCCATCTGAAAAGCACATGATGGAGATTTACTACTGATCACAGAACCGGCTTTACTGACAAGATGCGCATGACAATCGCATGCGATTTATCATGCAGCCCTAATTTGTCCTTCGGTACCAAATTTCTATAAAGGGGTCTCGTCAACGTCAGTGGGCCAATAAGCATGCAGTGTGATTGATGTGCCTAAATCAAGTGCTGGTGACTGGCTCTGGTGAGGAATCAAGGAAAAACACTAGTTTACAATGGTTAAGCCCAGTGACATGGATCACATGTGAGGCTGTAGTGTGTAAGCAATCCCCATAGATGTAAGGCTACATTTACACTAGATTTAAAATTATATTTTAATACAAAATAACACTTTATTTTGATAGTCCACTTTAGACATTCTTCTAACAGTAAGTAACTTTGTAACTACATGTCAACTAGCAGTCATTAGAGTATTAGTAGACTGTCTGCTTAATATCTTCTAACACTTTATTTTGATGGATCTACAACATACTGAGAAACTTTGCAAGTATATGTCAACTTATTCTACTAACCCTAAACCTAACCTAACAGTCTACTCTGAGAGTTAGTAGACATGTAGTTGCAAATGAATGAGAATTAGTTGACATGTAGTTGCAAAGTTACTTATAGTTAGTAGAATGTCTAAAGTGGACTATCAAAATAAAGTGTAACCGTTAATTATCAAAAATCCATAAAAGGGGCACTTTAACTAAGAATTTAACTTTTGCGCAAAACTGGAACAACGCATAAAACGTTTGCGTATAAAGCACCATTTCCATCCAATGAGCCAAAGAGAACAAAAGCGTCACTTCCTGATAAACTGGCACTAAATATCACTAAGAAAATTAGAAGTCACTGAATATAACAATTTTCTTATATGATAAATTACTTTTATCAAAACACAATAAATGCGGTCATTGCTTTCAGAGGTGGATGCCACTTTTTTTCCAGGAGTTTCAGAACAGTGTAATCGAAACTGAGTCATCAGGCAGGCGTGTCCTATTTGAGAATTTGCATAGGTCACCGATCATGCGCAGTTGGGTAAAAGCCAACACGAAACCCCTGATGGCAGGATTACATTCATACTGTTATAACTTCAGATACCTGTCCTGATCGCAGGGGTTTCATGTCAAAATGCATTCACAACTGACATTACTGCATGTTTTACATTTTTTACTGGTTGTTTATTTGTTTTCGAAAGTCGTTTAAATGTAAGATTATAAAACATAAAAATAACCTGTATTGTCCTTCATTATCCATCGCAGACGCTTTTCTCATTCATTATCCATCGGAGCAGATCAGAAATACCCGTGCAAAAAAAACAGCATTCTTTGCATGATCTCTTGATTTGTTTGTTTTTATTTTTTTTTGGAAAGGGGTCGTTTTCCCATAGCTTCCAGAAATGCCCATTTTACGTTGTGGTAATGAAACCCCTGAAATTTAATGAATGCCCAGAAATGCAGCCATTACCCCGGAAAACCCATAAACAAAGCAGCTGCACTACTTTGTTTCTAAACAGGATTTCAATATTTTAAACAGCCATTCAGATTTTTGTATTCACTATGGTGTTCATTGCAGTACTGAATACTTCAATACTTAAGACTTTAACAGGCTATTTATTTTCAAACTTTTTATTTTTTTTTACATTTTAATCTGGAGTACAACATGCTCTATATTGATTGAAAATGTTTTGGTTCGGTCACACTTTACATTAAAGGGGTCATATGATGTGATTTCAAGTTTTCCTTTCTCTTTGGAGTGTTACAAGTTGATTGTGCATAGATAAGATCCCTGAAGTTGCAAAGACTAAAGTCTCAAAACCAAAGAGATATTTTTTATCAAAGTTAAGACTCTGCCACACCCCCCTAAAACGGCTCGTTCTAACACGCCCCCACTTATCTACCGCGCTACTGTTTTGTTATTAGTTTAAGTATTTGCTATTGACTGTTCAAATGCAGAGTTTTGCGCATCGTGTGTGTGTGAAAGCATCATATGACCCCTTTAAGGCTCCAATAATTATAGTTCAGAAGTTATAATTCATTAGTCAACAAACTGCAAATGAAAAAATCTTCTAAAACATTTATTAATCTTAGCTAATTTCAACATTTAATATGACACATTATTAAAATCAAAGGTTGAAACGGCATTATTTAATGGACCTGAGCTAGCATGAACTAACAGTTGTATTTTTTTTTTAAAAAGGAATAACTTCTATAACAAACGTAGCTATTGTTAATGTCAGTGCATTAACAAAGGTTAACTAATGATACCTTATTGTACCGTGTTACCAATTGTTCTTTATAAATCTTTTGCACTTTAATATATTTCAAACATTCGTTTGTGTGTATTGCTGCTTTACTGTATTTAAATGTTCAGTTCTTTTTGTTATAAGAAAAAAGTTATTAAACCTGTTCTATTGTATTATGACAACATTTTTTGCAACATATTTCAATATCGTGATAATACTGTATATCATGATAAAAGCTTTAGCAATTATAGCAACATGAAATTTCAGCCTGGTCTCATGTTTATATATAGGTATTAATATGTAACATTTACAAGCCCAAAACGTACATTTTTGTACGTTTTTTATTGATGCTAAAACGTACAATTTTGATGTATTTCAACGTTTAAAACGTACAAATTGCTATGTATTTTTAGCTAAAAAATGTAAAAATATTTACGTATCTTTTATATCAAGACATTCGTATCAATGCATTTGTATCATTTTATCAATAAGCGATTTAGATTTTTAGATTCCTTAACCTACCCCCAAACCTAAACCTACCCATTTTACACCGAATATGCATTTTTATCATTTTATTAATAAGCAATTTAGATTTTTAGACCCCTTAACCTACCCCAAACCTTAACCTACCCATTTTATGGCAAATATAAAAGGATATAAAACACAATTGACCAAAATATGCAGGAAAATAACCATTTTAGTAACATTATAGCATTAAAATATTTTTATAGTTGCCAATCCCACTCCTTACCTATAAACCTAAACTTTTCTGTACAGTATAAGAAAAACATGACAGACAGATAAATGCAATTACAATTATTTATTTGTTGCAAAAATGTCAAAAGCAGTACCAAAAGTAATCCAAATGACGATGTGTTGCAGTCACACCAGAAACACGGCATGTCGCAATCTGTGACGAATGCAGGCGAAAACCAATGAGCGTTCAATTATCCTGCCGTAAAACCCGTCGTTTGAAGCAGCAACATTTGAATTTGTAAAGAGAGCGCGGCAGTCAGCGCGGGCTTTGCTGCTTACGGATACTGGACTCGCTGCTCGGGATGGAGATGAAGATCGCCGAATAAAGGCTTGGATTTGGGTCTGTTTCTCGCAGTTGTATGGATTTTATAGTTCTGTTGTCAGTAGGGATGCACCGATACTGGTATCGGGCCCGATACTGGTCTCCTGTACTCGTACTTGTACTCGTTAAAATGCCCCGATACCAAACGCCGATACCACACAGCATGTGATAAGCGCCGTATTCAAACAAAGAAACACCGACAACAGAACAACAGACAGCAGAAAGGAGTTAAGGATGTCTACTACGAATTCCTTGTAGTCGTATGGATTCTGAAGATTTGGATTACAGCACACGAACAAAATTGTTTCATTTCGTAATTATATTGCATTTTTGTTGTATTTTATAGTTCTATTAAATTGTCAGTCACAGCATGTCGGAGAAAACACCTTTTGTGGCCCATGGCAAACAAAGTAAACATTACATGAGAAGTAAAGGTTAAACCATTGCGGAAATGTTATTTATTTTAAGATTTAAAGTGAAGTCTTGTTTAACATTATGTAGGCCTATTCTTGGAAACGAGCTGGCAGCAGAAATCACACAACAAAACGAAATGTTATCATTTCATATTAAATAAATGAGTAAACAATTTAATAATGCAATTGAAAACAAGGTAATTGATATGTCAACTAAAAACCAACTAATTAAAATTAATGCCGCGATTTCAATATTCATAAGGATTCATTTTTAGGTGTCGTCAATACGTCAGTTTTGTACGTTTAAATGCTGAAAATACGTCAGTATTGTACGTTTTAGTGCCTGTAAAAACGTAAGTAAATGTACATTTTATAGAACCACATTTTACATAATACATACGAATCATCATGAGATCACGTTGGAAATTTTGATACCGTCGCATGCCTAGATAGAAATAGCTAGTAGAAAGTAGCTCTTTGTTTCACCCACTGCTGCTGCATCTGGGGGTCCTAAGAATTTTCATGGCAGTCACAGGCAAAAACCTTAAAATCAGTCCCTAGGTGGGTGAAGGGCAAAAACTGCATTTTAAACAATGAGAAGTCCTATCCTTGCCCGGCTTGGTACCAGAGGTGGCCTTCTTGCCCTCTAAGAGGTGTCTGGCTGTTGTCCTAGCATCTCTATCTGATGGCGTTGAACAGTTTGCTAATCTTAGTCCACCAAGATCCAATCAAATGGCAACAAACCTTTGTCCACTATTATGGTCAAAGAAGGGGTCAGCCATGCCATAAACTGGGCCCTGGAATGTGCTGTTCACTACAAATGAATGACTGAGTAACTCACCTATTAAAATGTGTGTTGGCAGTGTGTGTACACAATAGGGGTGCTCCGATTGATCGGCTACCGATCACTATCGGCTGATAATCACGTTGGGATGTTTGATCGGCGGTCTCTAAAACGGCCGATCTCCAAAAACCGATCTCAAGCTGATGAAGCTGCCGTGAGAGTTTTGGCATGACATGCAGAGGCACCGTCTCAGTCTGTCCGGCGCGGGTGAAATAATTGTAATGCTGAAGGTGTTACATCGCGTCTGTCTATAAGCGAGCTGCACGCTGCACAGTTGACACAGGAATTGTCACTTGCACAATCGAGGCAGTGTCACATCGTCACTAAAGTTTATAAATTGCATTACTTTTTCATTCTTGCCAGCGTTTAATCATTCAGCGCTCGCGTGCTCCTGGAGACCGTACGCTCATGCACACTCGCAGCGCACACACATAATGCCAAGTTCACATTATTCCGTTTGCAGTGGGCCCGGCAGTGCTTTCAGGAACGGTGAGTATGCACTGCAGCAGTGCAGAGATCTTTCTTCACCGAGTCTATTGCTTCGCTGCAAGCGCTGAATTAAAGTGACAGCGCATTGTTTGCAGTAAATATGAACATGGATTGACACGAAAATGTAGTAATTACACCATAAATGCATATAATTAAAGTCTACTGCGTTTCACAGTCAACACATGGCTTTTTGGCTAGGTTTAAAGGGAAAG